TAAGAAGTAACTGTTCAGTAGATTCTTTATCGAGTCGAAATCTCACTTCACTCTTTCTTTATAAATTCTATCACGCCTATTATCTTCTTCCGAATCAGTGTCACTGGAGTTTGATATAATATCAAACATTTCTCTATCACTATCTGAACTCGACATTTTAAAATTTAAAAGCGATAAGCGCAAAAATAGCGAACTTACTTTAAAAATTCTACTCTAACCGACCGACATCGGCAGGTAACCAAATGACATTACGAATAGTTATCTTGACAGTCTACGGACGGTTAAAATATTTATAGGAACACCATAGACTCTCATCTCTATACAAAACACTTACCGGAACCGGGCATAAGATAGTCAAAACTAACTAACTAGGTACATAGATCTTCAGAGAGCCTGTAAATACATATGTATGAACTCAATATCACGGAAAATTGGTTAAAAATTAAAAATTTCTAATTTGTTTCATATGTCGAGTTTTCATTACATCATAAAAATCATAACGTTTCTTGGCTTCTACTAATAAATAGAGCTGTAACATTAACCGCGCTGCCATTTATAACAAACCAGAAACTCCCTCGGGAACTCCCCCTCCCCTTTTAACCCCTTACAACCCCTTTTTCGCGATAAAAAGTAGCCTATGTTTTATCTCGGGGTCTAGAATATCTGTATACCAAATTTCATTCAAATCCGTTCAGTAGTTTTGGCGTGAAAGAGTAGCAGACAGACAGACAGACAGACAGACAGAGTTACTTTCGCATTTATAATATTACTAGCGACCCGCCCCGGCTTCGCACGGGTGCAATATGCATGTATTATACATACAAACCTTCCTTAAGAATCACTCTATCTATTAAAAAAACCGCATCAAAATCCGTTGCGTAGTTTTAAAGATCTAAGCATACATACGGACATACAGCGAAAGCGACTTTGTTTTATACTATGTATTGATAGTTAGGATGAACGAAGAGTTTTGAATATTTTGTAACTAAATAATGTCAATACGCGCAAATATTGTAGCTTTTAGATTTCACATATAAAAGCAAGGCTGTATGCGCATTGCGCAGCTCGCGAGCCCCTAATCTAACATGATAATAGTCTATACTTCTATCTCACCTCATTGGAGAATAAAAACTATGATAAACTACATCTGTTTGTCCGTAGGCCGACCACGTCCGGATTTCTACTACCGCTGCTTCCCTGATGGTGTGGAGCCGAAGGTGCTGGGATGCACTGGAGACCTGGCCGATATTCTGGAGGGACGCAAGTCTTTCCCTAGTGGACACAGCAGCCGTGAGTATTTCATACATTATGGGGTATTTGGCCGA